AGAGTGACTGGTCGTACCCGTCCGTCCTTGACGGCCTGGTTGCCGGCGCCGAGGAGCAGCTCGACCGTGGCCTTGTTGAACGCGGCGAGACCCTCGATGGGCAGGTACTCCTTGTTCTCGTGGTTGTCCAGCATCAGCTTCTCCGCCTGGGAACCACCCACCGGTCGGGGAAATACAGCATATTGTTAGGCGGGATACTGAAACGGGCCATTGCTGGATCTCCAACCCTTTTTTTTCTTCGCACGCTAAAAAGGAACTTGACATCCTTGTGATCTGAGAAACACCGCGAGTTGCTATGACTTGTGAGGTGATCTTTTAGGGCTCTGAAACAGAGACAATATGAAGCACATCCTCACCTTGGACACGACACGCAGCACATAGGGCTGGAGATCCTCGGTACGGTAGGCTCCGACACCAAGGTTAAGCTTGTCGGGATGTGTGTCAGCCTTGAAGGCATCGGACACACCAAGGATGGGATCGGGAGGCGCCATGGCGACCTCGTGGAAGCGAGAGGGCTCGGCCGCCATGATCACGCGCGACTGCGAGAAGGAACCGAAGAATCGGCCTGGAGCGACGACGGAGCTGGCCTTGAACGCCAAGTTCTTGAACGCCTGCACGGCACGCGGTCAAGGACCAGCACGCGAACAGTAAGCGTTGGAATGAAAGCACATCGTTAGGGAAAAGATGGACGGATGCAAGGGAACATCACTCGTGTGCATGAAATAACGGGCACGCGGATGCCATCCAGTATCACAAGATCCAAGAAGATAAGCTGAGGCAGAACAAAGGAAACGAAACTTGGTGAAGGAATGGAGGACAGGGTGAGAGACGAGGCCCTACCTCGCTTTTAGAGCAAGCCTGGGCAAGCCTGGCGCTAGCAAGACCAGTTTGTGCGGAAAGGAGAGATGCAGCCATGAAACTACGGTGAGTAAGACGAGAAGAGAGGAGAGGGGAGTGGGATTATGTAGTTGCTAGAATTCGGATTGCAACTGCGCCGCAGATATGTAGTCGCACGATTCTTGGCGAGGCCGTGTGGCAAGACAGTTGGAAATGGCGTGTGAGCAGCTCAGAGAGCGAATAGGAGCCGAGGAATATCGCCACGCTCTGGCTGACAGGGCTTACGCGGGAAGGAAGGAGGAGGAAGATGCAAGTGGAGAAGAAGAGGAGGGTATGGGGTAGTAGTAATGGGTTTCGCAAACCTTTAGCAGTTTCCACGTGGGTTTGGTTGGGTTATTTTGTTTCTGTGAAGGTTTTGGTTTTGTCCGCAACGACTGCGAAAGAAAGCAAGTGACCCCAGTTCAGTGGACACGTCAGGCATTGGGCGAGAAAATGCCGGAGGAGGCGGATCTCGCACGGGAGGAACTCGCCACGCCGACATTTTCCGCCTCAGCAACGCCTTGCGTGCCATGTCGGCATGCGCCTCTTCACGCCATGAGGGGCGTGGTGGTCACTGGTCACAAGACAGCAGACTTCTTTGCCGGGATGTGGGGCGAAACGGTGGGGTAAACCCAATTGGCAAGCCAGACCACCTCGAAATGCAAACACTTGTAGGAAGATCTCCACGTCATTTGAGATTTCGCTAGTTTGGTCTCAAATTTCCTGAAATGGGGGTGCACGTGGCTGGATTTGACGGACGAAGTCATGTTCAGTGAGTGACAGCGCAGACAGGAGAAGGCCGTAAAAAAAGGCGTACCCTGTAAACGTTTGCCAGGTCGGAACTTCGAGATTTGTTCACGACAGTGGACGACACGTTGCAGAGACCATTGTTATCGTCCGTAACATGACGTGCTACACTTATAGCATACTATGTGGCATGTACACATCAGTCTAGAGCCAAGAACACACATTTGAACGAAACTTCGCTAACGCAATATAGACTTTTGAGAGTAACAAAGTCTCCGCGATTGAGCAGATTGGAATTGGTGTAACAGTTTTTAGCAAGTTATTCTGTCATAGACAACCAGAGGAAATGCGTTCTGACCTCATACATCCCAGGACTCCCCAATCCCTCGTCAACAGCCCAGCACCCCTTTCGCTTGATACTGCTGCTCTGCAACTCACAAAATCCACATCTTCCACTTTAGAACCCTTTTCGCCTACCGGCTCCCGCGCCTTCCCACCCCGCGGCAAAATGACCGCGGGCGGAGGGACCGGCGGACTCTCCGCGCAACCCGCTTCCGCCAAGGTGCGGTGGCGCGAGGAGCGCGCGCTGGAGGGGCACGAGGGCGCGGTGCTAGCGGTGCGGTACAACCCGGACGGGCGGTACTGCCTGACGTGCGGGAAGGACCGCACGGTGCGGCTGTGGAACCCCGCCACGGGGCTGATGATCAAGAGCTACGTGGGGCACGGCCGCGAGGTGCGCGACGTCGCCGTCACCAGGTGCGCGCGGCGAGGCGCGGAAAAAAGATGGGGTCGTAGTAGCGGGGGAATTGGGGGAGGGAGGTGCCGGGGCGAGTCAGAGGGTGGGGGGGGTGAGGATAGATAGGATATAGGGCGAGGGAGTGGAGGACATGGGGGAGGAGCAGAGTGGGTTCTGTCCCCCTGTCACCGCCACCATGGCCTCCTCGTGCAGATTTTCTAGCCCTTGCCTTGCGCCCAACGCGGCGTGCCCTGCTCCCTGCATGCCTGTATGCCTCTTGCGCTCTCTCTCCTCATCCTCCCCTCTCCCCCCCCCGCTCCTCCTTTGTGCCTACTCCCCCTGCGCGCGCCCATGCAGTGACAACGCGCGGCTGGCGTCGGGGGGCGCGGAGAGGGGCGTGCTGCTGTGGGACGTGGCGGCAGGGCGAGTGATGCGGCGCTTCAAAGGCCACGACAACCAGGTGCGCTGCGCCGTGTGCTTTGAATGAAGCAGGGAGGCAAGTGGATGGATGGAGCGGCTAAGAGCGCGCCATCTGAGGCGACTGGGAGTTGCCTCTTGAGGCGCCCTTGAGCTGAGAGGGGCGTGCTGCTGTGGGACTGTGGCCGACTTCTATGCGTTGAGAAGAGGGAAGAGGCAGGTAGAATTGAAGAGCATTGCACTGTCGGCTCTCTTCCCTTGCCTTTCCCTCCCACCCCCCTCGTTCACCCGGCGTCTAAGCTTCCTCCCTCCTCACCCCTCTCCTCGCCCTCCGTCCTCGCCCTCCCACGTCTCCACAAGCACACAGGTGAACGCAGTGGTGGTTCTTGAGAGTGCTATACATTCATTCCATTCGCCCCTCCCTCCGTCCACATGCTCTTTACTCCATCCATCCATCCACGAGCACGCAGGTGAACGCAGTGGCGTTCAACGAGTACGACAGCGTGGTGGTATCAGGAGGGTACGACCGCAGTATGCGCGCATGTGACTGCCGCCCCGCCTCACCGTCCTCACTCTCCTCCTCACCCCCCTGCTGCTGTCCGTGCATGCAAGCAAGCAGGTGAACGCAGTGGCGTTCAACGAGTACGACAGCGTGGTGGTATCAGGCGGGTACGACCGCAGTGTGCGGGTGTGGGACTGTCGGTCGCACAGTGTGGACGCCATTCAGACCATGGACCCGTTCTCCGATGCCGTCACCTCGCTGCTGCTCTCCGCGCACTGCATCGTGGCCGCCAGCATTGACGGCAGCATCGCCACGTTTGATATCCGCAGAGGCAGGTGCGCGCGTGGATGGGGTGGCCTGTGCCGTGCGTGGGGTGGGGGTGATTCCTGCTCCTCATTATCATCCACAGTTTAGTTCCACGTGAAACTGTGGAAGAGTAAATCACATTTTTGTTGTTTTGCCCGTGCATGCACCAGACTGCAGGTGGACGAGCTAGGGAGAGAGCACCCTATCAACTGCATCGCCATGTCGCACGACGCCAACTGCCTGCTGGCCGCCAGCCTGCACAGCACGCTCAGACTGCTCGACAGGTGCGCACCGCACCGCACTGTGCAGCGCATAATCCATGACGCCAATGCCAACTGTGTGCTGTGCTGTGTTGGTCCGCTGCGCCGTGGATGGATGTGTGGGCGCTCACATGCTGTGCCCTGGCTCCCTGCATGTGTGCATGTGTGCATGCGTGCAGGCAAAGCGGAGAGATTCTGAACGAGTACCGAGGCCATGTGAACGAGGTGAGTGCGCGCATGCCATGCTGCCATGGGTCTTGCATGGGGCATGAATCATGGGCTACGGCATCGCCTGGGCCCTGTGTGTGGCCCAGTAACATCACGCATCCACCAACCTTAGTCTGCATCACCCCTCCCACCCACTCCCCTCCTGTCACATCCTTCCTGTATTTTTCAACCCAAACTCCAAACCCCCCCCAAAACCCCGAACCCGAACTTCGTGCCTTCAATCTTCAACCCCACGCACCAACAGCACTACAAGCTGGAAGCAGGGTTAACGCGGGACGACGCATACGTGGTGTGTGGATCAGAGGATGGGCGGCTAGTGGCATGGGATCTGGTGGAGGGGTCAGTGGCGGGGCAGCAGCAGGGCGCGCACAAGGGCGTGGTCACGGGGATTGCTTTCCATCCCTCTGACAAGCAGATGCTTTCGTGCTCTGCTGATGGGTCTGTGCGCGTCTGGGATTTGCAGCATTGACCAGCGTTGACCAGCGTTGACCAGAGTTGACCAGCGTTGACGATTGACCTGGGTTGACGAGCTGCGGAGACAGGTGCCGTGCAGTGCAGTGTTGACTCAGTAGCTGACCGGGAGCGCCAGGAGAAGAGTTGGTTTGGTCGGTTGGTTGGTGGGTGGTGGTGACGGTGAGGTACGGTGCCCCCACTGCAATGTGATGGCAATGTGTGTCAAGGTGGCACCTCACTAGGGTGGTTCATCATATTTGTTTGTACCCTGCAGTCCTCCTGTCCTGAGGGTGTTGTGTCTTTCAAGGGGCATGCGCAAGCAAGCGCAGTGAAATCAATTCATTGTAGCATTCATCATGTCAAATATAATCACTAATTGCTTCATTTTCAGTATCTTCTCTGCAGTAATGCTCCATTGACGACAGCTATGCACCTTATTCTTGCAAAGACGAAACAAACAGCTCTCCAGTAGCTCTCAGTTCTCCATCTCTTCCCCCTCCTCCCCTTCCTCCACGTCATCCTCCTCTTCCTCCTCCTCCCCTTTCTCTGCCTCAGCCAATGCGTCCAGCAAAGCGGTTCTCCTCTCTCTCAAATTCACCGCTGCTGCTGCAATGCAGTCCTGCTCGCAGAACGTGAGGCACATGCACATGCACGCAAGGGATAGGGGAGGGAGTGAGGATAGTGGAAGGGTGTGGACGGGCATGGAGAGAAAACCTTTTAATCCTGAAGGTGTTGTTCACCTGATGCCACACCTTACTACAATTGGCCCAACCATTCCCACGAACCCACCCATTCCCACAAACCCGTACACCCACGCTCGCACCACACGCACAACCAGCCAGAGCTGGGCCCCTGACCCACCTGCATGCCTGCTGCTGTTAGTCTTGTTGAGCCTCCCGCCTTAAACACCAGTAACAGCTCCTCTCCTCCGTCACCCACTCCTCCCCCTTTCCCCACTCCTTTCCGCTCCCCCTTCCCTCCCCCTCCCTTCTCCCCCTCCTCCTCTGCACCCTTCCCAGCCCCTGACCCCTCCTCCCGCGCCATCATATCCATCGCTATAATCACATTGTTACTGCCACTCCCCAGCCGCTCTTCCTCTGCTGTAGGATCAACCAGCAGGTGCCCCCCATACAAGCACACAGTCTGGGCCAATGGCAGCGCCTGCAGCTCCAGTCTCCTCCCTTCTACTGTCTGCTCCACCACCAACCCATCCCCGTCCCGCTCTGCTCCCTTCCCACCTTCCACACCTGCTTCTTCGCCCTCTCCTCCGCCCCTGTCCCTCCTCCCCTCCTCAGTACTTACCCCCTCCCCGTCACCCCTGCCTCCCCCGCCGCCCTCCCCCTCGCTGCCTGTGCGCCCCCCATCCGCCTGTGCGCCCTGCTGCGAATGCAGAAAGACCTTTCCATTCGCCACCACATCAACCGCAGGGAGGGTCACTGCAGGAAGGGGAGGGGAAATGCGAGGAGGGGAGGTGGAGTTTCATAGAGAAGGGGTATGACGTGAGGCGTGTGGAAGCGACGGCTGGGGAAGAGGCGTGGGGGAGGTGTGGGGTGAGGACATGGGGGGAGGGGACGGAAAACGTATAGCATGGGGAGAAGCACGCATAGAGAGGAGACTGGGGAATGGGTGGATAAGGAGGGAAAGGAGTCGTGAGTATTGTTGTGAGGAGGTTGGTACATGGTAAGGGAGAGAAGGGCAGGGCAGGGGAGATAAGAGGAGCGGAAAGGAGAGCGTACGGGAGGAGAGGGCGGCGAGAGCGGCGAGCAGAGCAGCATCAAAGAGAGCACCATCGGCATCAATGCACACTATGTCCTGATGGGCGGAAAGGGTTGGAGGGATGGGAGAGAAAGGGAGGACGGGGGAGTTGTTGAGCGAGAGGGGTGAAGGAGTGAGGGTTTGAGGGAGGAATTAGTTGAGGCATGCTGCTGGGGAAGGGAGAAATGGGGGACGGAGAGAGGGGAGGAGAGGGGAGAGTGGGAGGGGCTGAGTGTTAAGAGAGGTAAGTGAGAAAGACGGTGGGGAGGATAGAAGGGCATAGACATGCAGAGACAGAAGCATTGAGTGGGGTTGAGTGCATGAGCCGCATTGAGTGGGGGGGGAGGGGACAGGACAGGGGGTGGGGGGGGTTCGAGAGGGCAGCATGTACCAGCCAGATGGCCCATGCAGCCTTGCCCGGCACGACACAGAGACAGAAAGTAAGGGAGAGCATGGGTAGGGCATGGACAATGCGTGGGTAGTGGGGAGAGGGCATGGGAGAAGGCAGCACGCACCAGCCAGATGGCCCATGCAGCCTTGCCCGGCACAATGCAGAGGTGCGTGAGATCCACACACGCGGCGCTGTGAATGGGTGGGAGAAGGCGCGTGTGGGAGAAGGTGCGTGTGGGAGAAGGCGCGTGTGGGAGAAGGCGCGTGTGGGAGAAGGCGCGTGTGGGAGAAGGCGCGTGTGGGAGAAGGCGCGTGTGGGAGAAGGCGCGTGTGGGGATGGGCGAGGGAAACGAAAGAAGAGTATATTGGCGCTACAAAAGAACAGAAGTGAGTGAGATACACACACGTGGGGCTTTCACGGGGAGGGTCGGAGGAGACGCAGGTAGGGGATGGGGAGGGGAAGGGGTAGGCAGGGATCGAGAGTGTGTGGTTGTGTGCAAGAGAGGAGGTCGAGGGGAGGTGACTGTGGAGGCATTGGGTGGTAGCGGTGGTGACAGCAATGTGGGAGAGAGCAAGAACGAGCAGGAGAGAGCAGGAGGGAGCGCAGAAGAAATAGCAGGAGAGAGCAGAGGTGGCGGGTGGGAGGGTGGGCTGTTACCTGGTGAGTAGGGAGGTGAGGTGGTGCGAGATGGTGTGCGCCATGTCTGGGGGGCGGCCAGGCCGCACTGCTGCTGAGCAGATGGGCGGTAGGTCGCACGATACCACTGCTCTTGGTGCCAAGGGTACAGGGTGTCAGGGGGTGCAGGGGGTGCAGGGGGTGCAGGGGCGAGTGGGAGAGGGAGAGAAGGGAGAGAGAGGGAGGGTGTGGGAGGGTGAAAGAACGAGAGTGAGGGAGATAAAGGGAGAAAGAGAGAATGTATGCAAGGGAGAACGAGTGTGATATGCATGCAGGTGTAAAATAAAAGGAGCTGGTGCAAACATGCCGAAAATCCCTTGCTTAGCCCCTCACTCTCATCCCCTCCCCTCCCCACAGCATTCGTGCTATCCCTGCTCCCAGGTTTCCTGACAGCCTTCCCCCGAGCAGTGGTGGCGTGTGATCTCCCTCTCATTAGCCTCACATTGCCATTTTCTCAGTCAACTGTTCCCTCTGCTCCGTTCCCCTACTCTTCACTGCTCCTCTCCCGCCCCAACCCCTCGTCCAGCCTATCCCCTCCCTCCCCTCCCTCCCCTCCCTCCGCTCCCTCGCCTCTCTACCCTCCCCGCCTTCCCCCAGCGCACGCACGCAGAGCGCCTGCCGTGGGTCGGTCCTCCGAGGGCGCCATCACCTCCACCTTTATCGCCGCCACCATCGCCTGCCCGCCCATGGGGGTAACGGCGGAACCAGGAGGGAAGCGCAAGCGCAGGGTGGAGGGGGGGGGAATTGGGGGTTGTGTGTAGAGTCAGGGAATATGGAGGGAAAGGGGGGAGGTGCGGGGGAAGCGGAAGGGAGTGGTAAGTGTCAGAGGAAGCGAGATACGGCATTTGAGGAGTGTAAGCACGAGTACACGGTAATGAGGAGTGCGTGTGGTGAGTGAGAAAGCACTCACCGTGTCTCCCAGCTTCACCAGGGCTGATGCATCCGCATTCGTTACAGTGCCTGCACGGATAAGAACAATGACCGAGAAAAACATAAGCTCACATAAAATAAGCTGGAAAATATAACGGAAACCTCGCCAAAATGCCATATTTCCAAAGGAAACCCTCATGACGTGCCTAGCCCGTCGTATACCCTGAACCCTGACTCTGATCCCCCAACCCTAACCCGGACGCACCCAGACCAATGCTGACGCCGCGAGCTTGCCCAATGGGCCGGCCGTCGGGTCGCATGCCCTCCGCGAGGAACGGCGCCCAGAAGGCCTCCGGGTACAGCCGCCTTAGCGCGTCGGCATCTAGTAGATCCATGCGCGCAGCACGCGAATTAGCTAGTTTGCACGACTGATATGGTTGTAAGGTTAGATGGAACGAGCGCGTGTGGCAGCAGGCAGTTGGAAACGCGCGCCGACACTACAACTAGTTAGTGTTCAGGTTGGTGCAAGTCGAAGGATGATGATTTGGAACTCGTTTTTGCGTGTCCGGTTTGAAGAAAACACTCACCGTTGACAAAGTGAGTGCCCTCAAATTTAACAAGGGATAATGGGCATTTGGGAATGTTTACTTACAGGATGGTTTTGTTGGATGATTTCTGTTATATCTCCATGCTTTCTGCTAAACCCATTTTTCATAACAGATACAGAATATGCATACCTTGCAAATATAGATCGCAAATTCTGCATGTTCTTTAAACTGCCATCACAAATAACTGACATGGTCTATTTCCATATCATGTACATTGAATGTTGATAAATTATGAATGAAATTCAGATGGCAGTGAATGCGAACATGTATGTTTCAGCAAGTGTCAGCATGATATATTGATGTTGAACCAGGTTCTTGTTCCATAAGCTGACACCTAAGTAGTCATGTTTTCTAATTAGAAATGACGTTATAACATGCAACGAGAACATGCCTGTTTGGTGGCTTGTCTTGTTTGTGAACAATGTTGGACCCACTGTCAAGCTCATCGCAAGCGGACGAGAAATCTGCTCACTCCAGGTTACGGTCTGGTGTTGGGGTGGGGCGTTTGTTTCCGGAGGTCCTCTGAAGTTTGTCCCTCCCAGTACAGAACGAATTCAGGGTTCGGATTGCGCTGACACGCCACAACACTCGCTGGTCCCATTCGATGCCACTGTGGAGTGCTGTGGAGCCTGGGCGCAACCAAAGTGGCAGTTTCAATAAGCGGCACTTCCGCATGTGCAGGCATGCCTCCTGAAGGAGGTCTAACCCGGGGCGTATGGTTCCGCCCACCATCCCCCCTCCCTTTTCCCACATTTCCCCCCTCCTGTTGTCTCCGACCAAACCCGCTTTTCCTGGGGTCTGCCACCAAAACTCTTTTGTGTCCAGATCGCCGTGCAGTGTCTTCGTTGAGCAGTGTCTTGATCCTCTAAATATAATCATCGAGAGTGAGAATGTCGAGAACCAAATAGTGTTTTTTTATATCCAATCAATTCGTTAAATTTGAGAAAAAAATAGAATATAGTAGGCCTCCCCATTAGTGTAAAAACGTTGGGTTACCGTACCAAAATAACTGATACGTCTACCACCTGTTACCAGCTCCCTCCCTGGGCGTTTCGAGCTCGAGTCGGAACTTATGGCGTATCTAGGTTCGACAGCACACCCTCCAATCACACAGTACTGTAGTCATGGCGTTTTGTTTGAAGGGTTGCCTTCCTGCTGAGCGAGTGGGTGAGTGGTGGTGGTTTCGTGAGGCGAGGAGGGGGAAAAGTCAGGTGACAGGTGCGGAAGGGTGTGCAGTGCAGGTTAGCGGTTGAGGGGGAGCAACGGAACGAGCCTGCGGGTGGAACCAAAACACGAGCCAAGCCAAGCCAAGCCGGGGCCACCACCAAACCAAGCCAACCCACCCACCAGAGCTGCTGAATGGTGTGATCTTTCTTGCTTGCTTGCTTGGCTTTCAGAACGGAATGCGTTCGATAACAGTGAGCAGTGTTGCTTCAGACTAGTAATTTCTAACTCCTTGTTCTTCGCCTACTAGGCTGTACACACCATCGGCGAGTTCCCACCCATTACATGATCATAGTACTTAGCTTAAAACGCATTGCTTGCGGTTCTCACCAAGCAAATTTGCCAGCCTAAGCTGATAGCTGACGGTTTTCTTTCAGGCGCAGCCTTTTGCCGTCCTCCTCATTCCACCTCGGTCCGCGGACATGGAGGTTACCGCTCTCACGTCCACTAAAGTTTTCTCGAGTAACCCAAACACATCCGTCATTCACTTATGCATGGATATTTAGGCTTCGCTCGGCGTGCCCATTTCGACATCCCATTCGTTTCGTACAGACTAACTCCGACTCGCACCAGTCAACCTAAGCTAAGTCTCGTTCAGTTTCTCAATTCGTGCTCGACCTAAGCGGTTTAATTCTAACCTCGTGGCGCGCCCGTAGCCACTTTTGACCCCATCATTCTTTGATCCATGTAACCCTAACTAGTCACTTTATCCATTGCGAGTACCCGTTCCCAGTATCCATGTAATCTATTCTCCGCCGAGTAGTCCCTTCCCACCTCCGCCGAGCTTTATTTCCGCGATGCCGCGCCTAGAGGACGTTAAAATTCCCGCGAAGCTGCAAGCGCTGCTGGAAAAAGCTCCTCCGCCCGCGTCAGGAGCGCCGATCGGAAGCTCGCTATTAGGCATCGGCGGATTCAGCTTTGGCGGAAGTGGCGGAGGATCGGCAGCTGCCGCGGGAGCCGGTGGCGGAAGTGGAGGCGGAGGCGGGATCACCCTCCCCCCGCGCCTCCCCGTGCACCAGCTTGGGGGGGTGAAGAACCGACTTAACTTACAGGTGCATCACGATCAGTCGTCGTTCTCGCGTGGGACGTCGCAACCGTCGCCCAAGTCGTCGTCTGCGACACCTCCTGCGAGCCAGGAGCAGCAGAGGCTACTAGTAGGGCCGCCGTCGGTGCTTCAGCAGCAGCATCTGCGCCCGCCACCAGGGCTAGCCGCAGCGGTAGTTGCGGGAGTGGGTAGAGACACCAGGGACAGCAGAATCAGTTGTCGCGACGACGATAATGACTCCGAAACCGGCAGTGTGATATTCTCCCCGGTTCCGCAACCCGCGCACTTGCGGAAAGCCGCTGCGCGGAAAAAGAAGAGCGCGGAGGCCGGCGCAGCTGCGCCGGGTGTTGGGGCAGGAGGAGTGGGGATCGGGGGAGGAGGGGGAGCGGCGGGTTCAGGAGCGGCAGGCGGTGTTCAGGAAGGTGGATCAAGTAACAGGACAGGTGCTGCTGGCCATGGAAGCATTAGCAATCAAACCTCCCCCACTCTCTCCTCCCCTTCCAATGCGCTCTCTCCCCCCGGACTTGGCGCTACCTCTCTCGCCTCTAGCGCCTCCTCCTCCGCCTCTACCTTCTCCTCCGCTTCCGCCTCCGCCTTTTCCTCCGCCACCAGCTCTGGCGGCGCTGACGTGGCGCCGTCACACAGCCAATCGGGGCGCAGCAGGCAGGGAATGGCGTCGGGGAAGGGGGATGAGCAGGGGAAGGGGGGTGCGCCTTCGCAGTCCCCGCGGTATCATCCCCCCCGGCCCTCTCCGCCCAAACAGCCGCCGCAGTCGCAGCCGCAACAGCAGCCCCAGCCACAGCAGCAGCAGCAGCAGCAACTGGAACGTTTCCAAAGGGCCAAGATGAGGCAGCAGCAGCAACAGCAGCAACAACAACAACAGCAGCAGCCACAGCAGGGTGGGATTCCGTGGCTGAACCGAGACGGGGATGATGGTGGCGCGGGGGAGGGAGAGTACGAGGAGGAAGAGGAGGAGGAGGACGGGGACGAGGAGGACGGGGAGATGGCGGAGGTGGTGCGGCGGGCGCGCACACTACCCAACTCCGCGCAAGAGAGCGGGGGAGTGTTGCACGCGCTCACCGTTGCGCTGCAGGCCGTGCAGGTGAGGCGCCACGCATGTCCCCCTGGAAATTCCCTTCCTGTCAGCCCCTCCCTGCCCATGCCTCCTCTGCTTGCTCTGACCATCGCTGCTGTGCAGCGCCAGTCACCCGGATCCGCATGCTTACTAGTCTCCTTGCATCTTCTCCCCACCCAGCTTGCCCTCATTATCTCTCTCACCTTTCCGCATTCCGTCCATCCAACCCCACCCTCTTCTCCCCCTCCCGTTCTCACCCTCCCTGTCCGCCTCCCTATTCCCGCCCCCATCCCCACACAGGACGAGCAGCAGTACGACCCTTCCCCCTACACCCCCTCGCGCCCCTCCCCGCCTCTCCGCAGCTCCAGCCCAGGCAGCGCAGCCGCGCGCGCGCATCTGCCCTCCTCCTCCTCCGCCTCCTCCGCCGTTGCTGTGGGGCGTGGGGCAAGCGGCGGTGCTGCGGGCGCAGGGAGAGGCGGAACGGCGTTTCCTCTCTCCTCCTCCTGCAACTCAGTGCCGGGAAGAGCGTCAGGCGCGTCAGGAGCATCAGGGCCATCAGGGGGGCCACCAGGGGCGTCAGGGGCAGGCGCGAGTGGCAGCAGTCGCAAGTCCAGCCGTATGAAGACGTTCAGTGATGCATCTGCCAATGCAGGTCGGGAAGGGCTGGGTAGCGCAGGGGGGGCACGGGGGGCAGGAGGGCCAGGGGGGACGGGGGGAACAGGTGCAGTGGGCAGCGGCGCATCTGCAGCAGCAGTGGCAGGAGGAGGAGCAGAGGGATGGGAGAGCAGTGATGGCGGTGGGGGATGGAGCGAAGGGTACCCCATAGGGGAAGTGCCCATGCGACGCACTATGAGCAGCCCGCTCAAGAGAGAGTCGTCTCTGTCGTCCTGTGATGCTGCCAGTGTGGTTGGCAGCGTGTGCGGGAGCGTCGTGAGCAGCAGTGGCGGCAGGAGCAAGAGTGGGAAGAGCAAGGAGGAGAAGCTAGCAGGGCTGCCCATGCTGCCTCCTCCCCACGCCACTCAGATTGTCAAGGTGTGCGAAGCCGGAGGCTGCAAGGGAGGGTTTCCTAGCTGTGCTCTGTTCGCCAAGGGAGTCTGTTGCAGGAGGGGATTGTTTATTTTTTTTTAGGCGTCTGAAGCTTACGCTGATTCCTTCTGAGTGGATGGAAGAAACTGGAGCTTGAAGCTGCAGCGCTCTTGTTTCGAAGCAGCTGTGTCCCGCTTCTGCCGCTTTCTTCTGCCAAATAAGCTGCCCTTCCCTTCTCGGCATACCACACCTGCTCCATCCATGTCGTCATATCACCATTCCTCGTTTTTTTTTTTTTTTAACACCCTTCCCCCTCCCCCCCACCCCCTCCCCGCTTCCCACCCCCCCGCTCCCCTTCTCCACTATCTCCCCTGCTCCCCTCCACCTTCCCCCCACAGTGCACGTATTGTGGGCAGAACCTGTCTCTCCCGAAGAAGCTACCCACGCCCAAGAGTGGCGTGCAGAAGCTGCGCTGTGGTAAATGCCTCAAGGTCTGCAAGTACCTTCCCTACCAATTACCCGCCCCCGCCTCCCCTCCGCCATCCCACCCCGCCCAACCCTCCCTCCCCACCTCCTCCCCGAGCTCTCTCCCCGCGTCCTCCCCCCCCTCCTTCCCCTTATCCGCGACGTCTTGCACTGTGGCGTCAGGGCCAGGCGCAGGGATGGGCGGTGGGGCGGGCAGGCAGGGGGGAGCGTATGGTGTGAGTGGGAGCGGGAATGGGTATGGGTATGGGGGGGAAGAGGAAGGGCGGTGGGGGGCGAATGCAAGGGGTGGAGAGGGGTGGGAGGCCGGAGGAGGGGTTGGGATGGGAGGTGGAGGGTATGGTGATGAAGGGGGCTATGGAGGGGAGGGCGGCAGTCCATATGGGTATGGGGCTCAGAATGGGTATGGAGGGGGAGGGGGGTATGGTGGGGGCGAGGGGGGGGCAGGTGGCGGGGACTGGGAGGATGAGGATGGGGAGGCGGATTTTGGGTTTGAGGACCCGTGCCCTCCTGGGAACGCAGGGATGGCATATGGCCAGCAACAGCAGTGGCAACAGCAGCAACAGCAGCAGCAGCAGCAGCAGCAGCAGCAGCAGCAGCAGCAGCAACCGCAGAAAGCAGGAGGAGTGGGCAGAGGGGGACGCGTGGGAAGCACGGGGTTTCAGAGGGTTCAGAGCGCAGGGGGGCGGGTGCAAGCAGTGACTATGGCAGCAGGCATGGTTCCAGACCAGAGAAGCCGGCAGTTCGTTCGCGCTGGCAGCAGTGCTGCGGCTTATCAAGGAAACTTCAACCCTGGCGAGGGTGCAACCGGGGGAGGTGTATATGGCGAGGGGTATGGGGAGGAGGAATACGAGCAAGGAATGACAGATGAGTACGGAGGGGGGTATGGTGGCATGGATGGGCAGGGTTTTTCAGGGGAGGCGGAAGAGGAGGTGGAGGAGGAGGAAGTTGGGGACGGGGAGGAGGGTGAGGAAGAGGAGGAGGACATGTATGGTGATCTAGAGACAGAGTTGGAAGCAGCAGCAGTGGCAGAAGCAAGTGGGGGCGTGTATAGCCAGTCCGCGTCCCCTTGTACCCCTCACAGAGGTGGACCAGGGAAACCCAGAGGGGTAGGGCTTGCATCAGCCACTGCTGGTGGTGCTGTTGGGAGCAGCATGAGGAGCAAGGGCCAAGGGGCAGAGGGCAAGCGCATGGCACGGTGTATGACTATGAACGTGGTGGGTTCCGCTGGCTCTGGTGCTACAGCCGCTGCTACAGCCACCACTCCTGGGCGGCACAAGGGCCCTCGGCACACGCGCAGTGGGAGCAGCAGCAGCAGCAGCGGTGCAGGGCTGGCGGGAAACAGTGGCAAGTTCAAGAACCACATGCAGAGCAGCCCGCCTGGGGGCAACAACAGTGGCAGCAGCAACAACGGTGAGAGCCCTCCTCGGGGCTTCTACAGGCAGGTTGCTGCTGGTGCGGCTGCTCGTGGTGGTATGACAAGGGCACGCTCGTCGTTGGACCTAGAGGCGAAAGGCAGGCCCTTTCCGTCTTCCTCCTCCTCTGTCATCTCCGCTGTGTCTCCCCGTCGCCCCACCAGCAGAGGCGCCTCGTCTCTCATCTCCATGCCTGTGTCCGCCACTGTTCCTGCCATGGGTCCCGGTGCGGGGCTTGGGGCGGGCTTTGGGGCTGGCGCAGCTGGCGCTGGTGCTGGTGCTGGTGTGGGTGGTCTGTTCCCTGGTTCTTCGTCCGTCCCTGCAGCTATGGCCGCCTCGTCGTCGCTCCTGGCCTCCACACATCCCAGCCACGGCAGGGTGACTGCTCGGAGCAGCAACACAGCGGCACATGTAGCAGCGACGGCAGCAGCGGTGGCAGCGGCGGCAGCAGGAGCAGGAGGGGTGCATCAGCAGCACGAGCCGTGGGGTCAAGGCAGACCACCCCCCAATGGGGTTGTCACAGCGGCTGCTACTGCTACTGCTGCTGCAGGGAAGGGCGCTGCTGCTGCTGCTGGCGCTGCTGGCAGAGGTGGGAAGGGATGCACAGGGAGCATCAGTCGGGGAAATTCGAGTTGTTCGATGAGGAATGGGCAAGGAGGGGCACTGGGGGGGGCAGTGGGGGGGGGCAGGGGGGAGGAGGCGTACAGCAGGGGTGTGGTGGTGAATGGTGTTCCCATCTCAGACGCGCAGGTGCATGAAGCAGAGGCCATGGCAGGCCCTATTCACCCCGGCTCCTACTGGTGTGTGCTTGCTCCTTGCTCCCTCCCAAACCTTCAGGTTCTGCTGCTCATGCTCATGCTCATGCTCATGCCCATTCGCACCTGCCTCTCTCTCCCACACACACATGCCTCCGTGAACTCTCCTGTGGTTCCTCTCTTTGGCTTGTGCTCTGCTGCGCCTTCCCATGTGCGTGTGTCCCGTGACCCTGTGCCCGCCCCCCTTCACCCCACCAGGTATGACGCCTATGCTGGCTTCTGGGGCATCATGGGGGGACCGTGCCTTGGAGTCATCCCGGTAAGCCCTCTGCAATCCACTTCGTCCTCCCTCTGCATTCCCTTGCGCACTCAACTTCTCCCTTAGCCTATCAGTATCGCGCATACTCCTTCGTTTTCTCCCATCCCGCTTCCTCGCAAACACCATCGCCCACTGGTTGTCCTCACTGCCTTTCCCGCCATCCACCATTATCCACAACTCCCCTGCACTGCACTCCGCTCGCTGCCGCACCCTTCACAGGCGAGTATATGGGCGGTGGCACATGCACCCATGCCACAGGACTGCTGTGGGGGCAGCACAGGTGTCGTGGTGAATGGGCGTGAGCTGACGCCACGGGATCTGACCATCCTCAAGGGGAGGGGGTTGCCCATGGTGCCGGGGTTCTACTCGCTCACCATTGATGGCGAGTTGCATGATGAGTCCTCGGGCCGCCATATTAAGTCGCTCGGAAAACTCGCACCCTCGTAAGTACCGCTGCTGGTACTGCTGCTGCTGGTACTGCTGCTGCTGGTAGTGCGTGTTGGTGGGTGGTGGTCGGACTGCAAGTGGAAAACAGTGAATTCATTCCCTTGCTGTTCTTCTTCCTTTTCTGTGACTAACTGAACTGCATCTTTTCTTGCTCTTCCTACATGCGTGATTTCATGGCTGGCACTGCTTGATTTGCAGATTGGAGAGGCAACAACGGGGTGCGGGTATGTACGTGCCGAGTTGAGTCAGCGTATTGAAGCATTGTTGCAGAGCAAGCGCTGTAACTACGTGTGGTGATGTCACGGCGATTGTGTGCATAGGAACCGTGCATGCGCCATCAGGGCAGCCAAAATTAGCTGATAGTCTGACATCATGTTATTACACTGGAAGACGACATATTTCTATGGAGAAGAACAATATGACGTGAGTTAGGTGTTGCAACCATCGTCAGGTAGTGATGTTAAATATTGTTATTACAACTATCCCGATTGCGTGTTCCTGAAAGTTCAAGAATGTTATTGCGACTCTTCATGACATTATACAGTAGAGCAGCAGTCCACCGTCCTTGTGCCCAACCTCGGTATTCGACCAACACGCGGCGTCCTCGCTCCAGTTCAACGCTGGCGCGTGCCTTATCCACGTTTCCCACGCTGCTTCCTTGACGGAGGAACTTTTCGAGTCTTTGGATGTCGGTGAAAGAGTTTCATCCGATTCAGCATCTCATCCGCTTGTTGGGGCAGCCGTGACTTGTGCAGGAGTGCAATGTTTTAGGGCATTTATCTAGCGGTAACACATTTGGAGCTCGTGCGAACTCGTTTTGTTGGCAGATCCCAGTCGATCTGGCAACTGAAGCTGCCCCTGAAATATATCCATCTGTTCTCGTGTTGCCCTTGTCACGTGCCTCTCACTTCGTTGTCAAACCCTGCACACGATTGACCGACACAATCGCCCTAGAGCATAATTTCTGGGACAAATCGTTTTTTGTTTGTTTCAGACATTTACCGAAGTTTAATGGGTGTATTCGGTTCCCGACGGGTTTCGAGTTGTTGCGGCCTGATGACCACATATTTCAGCTAGGACTTCTTTAAGGTCCCTAAAATCAGCTCTCCCCTACTGGGACTCTCCGTGTTCACAATTGACCATCTAAAGGAGAAGAAGACCTGGATGACACTGCTATTAGGCACAACCTTACCAGTTCCTACGCATCCCCGAAATCTACCCCGAATTTTAGCCATCCCCACGTTCATCCCCTTCCCAACCCACACCTTCAATGGCATGCAATACAACCTTCACGGTTCTGAAGTTTGGACATCAACTGAAGTGTGGACACTTTGGTATCAATGAACACGTCTGATTGGCTGTCATGCTCCAAGACTTCTCGCAAGTTGTGTGGTGACCAATGATTGGGTGTGTTTACACGTCACTGAGGGAAAAATTTGGTTCTTGGTGTCCAAGCTTCGCCCAGAACCGTGACCTCAATATGTCAAGCTTCCTCATCACATATCCGCACATTCACCAATTTCTGCTTCATCGCACATTTCAGTTCTCGGCTGAGGAAGCACTCCTGAGTTCGGACGCCATTTCCCTTCCTCTTACCAGCTTGTTGCTTGCCCGATTTTGTGCTCTAGAGCCTTCAAATTCCCCTGCAGGTGCCATTTATTGCGGCACCTTAGCGTGATATGCGTCCACCTTCGCGTCGTCCCTCCGTAAATTCGTGGCTGGCAGTGGCGCAGAGATCCCATCCTCCAATCCATGGTTCCGTCGCGACTCACGTGGTGAAGTGTGAACAACCTGGACTTCTAATCTTGCCTTCCGAGCCTCTCCCTTTCAGCTCCTCGACTTTTTTGCAGCGTTCGAGGCGCAATTTTGTGTGCCGCCATGGCTCCTTCTCCCAACGACATTTCGTGCACTGTTGTTCTTGCTTCAACGCCAAGCGACCTTGGTTACAGCTCGAAGCGGCATCATCCGGATGAAGCTCCTAGTAAAGATTGCGCCGCAATGAGCGGATCCTCTCACGAGGCTCCCATGAAACTGGTCGAGAGTAATATTCCGTTGAACGTTCTGGACTCGGGGAAAAGCGTACCCAGCAGCGGCGCTCCCGACACGATGTCAGCGACGCCAGCATCTGCGGCTAAAGACGATGTCAGCGTTTCTATCGGCGACACAGGAGCCACTTCCAGTGGCGTGACGGAGGTCGCCCTTCCTGCGGCTGAGAACAAGGAGCGCGCGGATTCCGCTGAGACAGGCCGCGGAAAGGATGGCGGAAACAAGAACGGCGTCGTTGGGAGCAGGCTCGCCGCTGGCGCGCGGCATGGCGGAGACCGCGAGGGAAGCTTCAAGCGGAGAATCTTCGGAAGCTTCAGCAGCGCAGCGAGCAGCGATAACTGCAACCACGACAGCGAAAACGGCGGTCAAGATGCGGATTCCTCTCCCGAGCAGCCGAAAATGGGCCACTCGCACTACTCGCACCGCTCTCCCTGGCTACGTGCCGCTCTTCTCGGCGCGAACGACGGGCTCGTGTCAACTACGTCACTCATGATCGGCGTGGGAGCCGTGGAGGAAGACAAAAACACCATGGTGATATCTGGCCTCTCTGGGCTTGTCGCGGGCGCGTGCAGCATGGCTATCGGCGAGTATATCTCCGTGTTTGGGCAGCGCGACACGGAGGAGGCGGACCTGCGGAAGGAGCGCGCGGAGTTCGCGAAGGGACCAGAGGCGTGCGCGCGAGAACTCGAAGAGCTGACGCTGATTTATGTGGAGCGCGGGTTGTCGTACGAATTGGCGCGCACTGTGGCCATTGAGCTGCATAAAGGCGACCCCATCAGAGCGCATGCACGGGACGAGCTGGGGATTGACATGGATGCGCTGTCGAGCCCTGGACAGGTACTGCCTCTTACGTGTCTTGAAGATATGGTTATCTGCAGCTCTTTTGCTGCTTGTTGCTGTTTCTCATCTGTCATGCCCGACAAGCTCTGTTATGTAGGGTTTTCACGTTGTAGACCTCCATATTATGTTGTTCTACCCTTTAGCTCATATATCACATTTCGCATCTACTGTATTACCCTCTCACCCTTTGCCCATATGCAGGCGGCTATTGTGTCGGCCATAGCGTTCACCATTGGAGGCATGATTCCGCTGCTCTCTGGGGCATTCATTTCCAATTTCCCCACGCGGCTTACTGTCATGATTGTGGTTTCCACCATCACTTTCTTAATATTTGGAGCCATTGGGGCCTGGCTGGGTGGTGCAAGAAAGTTCCGTGCAGCGCTACGTACCACAATCGGAGGCTGGCTGGCCATGGGCATCACGTATGCAGTGCTCAAGATCTTTGGGACAACAGGAGTTTGAGTATAACTAGTGGTCTAAGTTGTATATTATTGTGTGTCTTAGTTTGTGTGCTACTAGTTGTAGACCCACTACTTGTGATTCTGCATATGTGAGTATTATCGTAGTTATTTCAAAGGAAGCAATGACTGGATTGCAATTGCGGTACTTTGCATGGCAAAATGTGCTAGTAGTTAAGCGTGTCATGCTCAGTTTATGTTATTCTGTAATCAAACACTTTCCGAAAGGGTCATTTACAATACCGCGTACTGGCACTCTCAGCGTCGCACGTTACCCGTATAGGTACTTTCGTAATGGTTCGTCAAGTACTTCGCTCATCTCCCGTTAGGTGAAATTGAACTTCGCAAGCTCATTCAATCTTCGATAACATCTCGCTTGCGCCTGTAACGGTTTTTTCAAGACAGGACCAGGCCACTGTTTGCCACTGTCAAGTAACTATATTGCGCTTCGGCTCGGCCACTCCACAGAGGGCGCAAGCTGGCCCCACACACGGGCCACAGCATTTTCGTGGCGAACCGCTGCTCCGTCGTCCCCCTCGCGGCTCGAAGGGTCACATTTCCGCTACCCCGTTCCCCCGACGAACTCTATCTCCGCCGTGGGTGTGCGACAATCGCCGTGCGGGTGTTTCGGTTCGGAATCGGGGTCGCATGTTTCCACCTTCCAACACACTTGGCCCATCGTCAACGGAGGGAGGAGCCCCCAGTTCGCGAATTTCGGTAAAATTACACTGATTTGCCCTCATGCGTTCGCGTGTGGTCCATTGCTTCCGTACGACTCATCGCGGCCTGAGCAAGCGCAATGTTCCCTTCCCCTGCTCCCCAGCACCACTGTGTGTTTCCGGCTGAAAGTAGCACCACCATTGCTCATTGCTCGTATTCCCACTTCCCTCCGTCGGCTCAGCTCGGCTGGTTTGGACCTTACTCGACGACGCAAATTTCAGATGCAGAAACAGCTAGGCACATACTAGGATTCTGTTTCATAGCTTGCGAGGAGCAGACATTAGGTCCTGCCAGAAAGCCTTGTTGCATTCACTGTTTCTTTCTTTCCTTCTTTCTTTCAAAGCTCCTCGTTACTGCCTCTTTCGTGGCGATTAGTTCCTCTGTCGTAACCTTCCTCTTTCGCCCTTCCCTCTTAGCGTACCCTTCTCCACCTTCCCCAATATTGCCCTTAGAGCAATGCGGCCGCGCTACGGCGTTCATACTCCCCGTACTCTTACGAGTAGGCACAGGGCCGAACCGTATTGATTGGACACCAGAAGTGTAGGATTCAGTGGATGCAGAACAGCCACTAACTAAGTTTTTTTGTTTTAAGAGGTCATTTATTCCGCGTAGTACAGCATCGCGGCTCGAGTAAATGGAAAGACCATTTCGTCGCAATCGGGAGCGCGCGTGTTTCCGCGAGTCGTGTTTGCAAGCAGTCCCTTTGATCTCCGCCGTTGGAAATCATGCCCATGGCGCCACTGCTTCGCCGTGGCCTCAACTCCGCGTTCCATGGTCACCTGCAACCGGAGTAACCGCGGCAGCATCATCACAAACAGCAGCAGCAGCATCATCAACTCGACCAACTCGGGGATCCCCGCCGACGCGATTGCGTCTACGGCTCGGCTTGTCATGGGCGCCTCTCGTGATGCTCCTGCTCCTCTCCGCGGCCCCGCCGGTGGCCCTCGCAGGTGCGCCGTCTTTCGGTTGATTTTGTCGCAGCTACTCGGAACGCTCCTAAGGGGTTGTCCTACAGCGGCATCTGTGATATTTTCGCAACCTGAATTTCACTTTCTGATAACATTTCTTTCTCTTCCTCACCCACGCTCCCGGTCTTCTGCGTTCCCCCATGCCTCCCTCTCCCCTGCATCTCCCGTTCCGTCCACCCCCGTCCCGGCATCTCTAACTGCAGACGGCAACCCCAGACGAGCCCTACTGACGCAACTGCCGCCTCGTAAGTCATCCCCGTGCAATACTGCCTTCGTTCTTCAACCACCTTTCTGCGTGTGCTTCTCGTCATTCTTGCTCCCACGTGCTCCACTAGTACCCTCCTTTTCAAAAGAGGTTGATATCCTTGAACTTGCCTCGTCCCGTTCCTTCGGAATATCAATCAAAGAGCGACACAGGCATAGCTACTTAGCACCATTCTCGGCACTCGAGATTCTCTCAAGCTGTCTCGATTGCGAGCTATGGCATGAAACACAGTTGTCAGTAAAGGCCAAGGTCCTCATAGTCGCCGCTTGGTCCATGCGCATGCCCCTGCGCGTGTCCCTGCGTCCCTCACTACAGAGTCGGAGATCATAATAGCGGCTGTGGCGGGGTCGGCGCTCGTGGTTACGCTTGTCGTCTGCGTCATCCTCATCTGCTGCTGCTTCTCCCCCCGCAAAGAAGCAACCGCCGGTAAGAACCGCTGCTGCATCCACAGTAAAGTACCCCCTGTCAACACGCCACCGTCTAAGCCACTTTTTCTCGTTCGCTTCTCGCGTTCGGACCGCTCTCATACCGCGTTTCGTTTCTACCTTTTTTCAGACAAGGAAGGACAAGGGAAGAGCACCCAGAAGATCGTCAGCGGGCCGGATGACGTGGCAGTGCCGACGCTCTGTTTCAACGACATCCAAGTCGCGACGGACGGATTCAGTGACGACGCCATCGTCGGCGGCGCGGGCCACACGACCGTGTATCGCGGGGAGGGGCCGAGCGGCGAGCCGTGGGCGGTGAAGCGCGCCAAGCGCGTGACTGTATCGGGGTCGCATCTGTTTCGCAACGAGGTGGATTTCCTGTCGCAGATCAAGCACCCCAACATCGTGCCGCTCCTCTACTCCTGCGACGACAACAGCGAGCAGATCCTCGTCTTTGAGTACCTCGCTAACGGCCCTCTCTCCGTGTGGCTGCGCCCGCCGCCCGGGGACGAGCGCGCGGCGCTGACGTTCGAGCAGCGCGTGGACGCGGCGCTGGGCGTGGGCGAGGCGGTGCAGTACCTGCACTCGTTCAGCCGCCCCACCATCATCCACCGCGACATCAAGTCCGATACCATCCTGCTCGACGACCACCTCAAGGTCCATGCGCTCTCCGCTCTTCGCTCCCTGCTCTCTGCTCTCTGCTCTCTGCCCTCTGCCCTCTCGTTTCTGTGCGCTGTTCACTCGTGCCGTGCCTCCATCGCTCTGCATCCGGCCCTTGGCCTGCCATTTCATCTACGTTGTCTTCCCGCTCGTGCATTCATTTCTTGACAGTTCCTGAACTCTGAAGCCAACTTTTCTCCCTCGTCCTCCCCGTGCTCTCTGCGTGTGTGGCGTGCCGTGCAGGTCAAGCTGGGGGGGCTGGGGCTGCTGAAGCATCTGCCGGGGGAGGGAATGCGGCTGCGGGTGGCGCGCAAGAAAGGGTACCTGGATCCCGAGTATTTTCAGACCTTCAAAGTCACGCCCAGATGCGACGTCTATAGGTAACACTCCACTTCTCCTCTGCTTCATCAGTCCTCCTCTACTTTATCGCCACCACCACCCCTTACTTTTCTGCCGTCATCTCCTCTTCCTGTTCTCGTTCAGTTGAGTTACCAACCATGCATCACAGGTGCCGTGCATTTACCCTCCCACACTCGCACCACTCTCAACCCCTCTCCATCCCTCCATGCCCCTGCTCACTGCGCAGCTTCGGAGTGGTGATGCTGGAGATGCTGACAGCCCTGCCGCCCATAGTGCAGGGTCTGCCGCGCTCCTCCCCCACAGCCGCGGACGCCAGCTTCGCAGGGGAGGCGCCCTCCCCAACTCCGCCCATGTCTCTGCCCCAGTGGGTGAGTGCCCTGCACCCTGCACCCTGCACCCTGCACCCTGCACCCTGCGCGCTTTGGCCTTTGCCCTGTGTTGAGCACCAATCCTGCCTTCTGCACTCCCTCCCACCCTCCACCACTCTTCTTTCTCGCTCCATACAGCGGCCATCATCGATGAAATACCAGCTCAAAATCATCCCCTCGTACTGCATCCTACCGCCATCCTACTACATTGCAGGCCCTGCCGCTGATCCAAGAGGACAGGGTAGAGGAGCTCGTGGATCCCCGCATGCCGCCCGGCTACCCCCGTGATTCCCTCGTGGCCTTTGCACGCATCGCAGCGGAGTGTGTTGCGCCGCTGCGCAAGGACCGCCCCGACATGCCACGTGTCACGTTCCTGTTGGCGGAGCTGAAGCGTCCGGCCGCGCTGCGGTCGGTGGCGTTTGCACGGTTCTACACAGGAGATCACAAGGCCGTGCCCATCTCCCACACCTCCTGACTCCTCCCACTCCCCCACGCCTGCCGCTCCCCCACACTGTACCGTGCACCATGCACCATGTGCCATGCAGCATGTGCTGTGCACTGTGGCATGGACTGTGTGCTCCCTCTACCTGTCAGCAGTCAAGCCACCTTGACTGCCTCCTGTCCCTGCTAGGCTGCTACCTCCCACCCACTCCTCCTCTTCTTCCTCTCTCAACCCCCACTCGCTCTTCCGTGCTCATCATCCACTGCTGGGACTTCCCTTCCAGACTTGCCACCTTGCACTCCACCTGCACCCCTGCCATCCCTCCTCCGGGCCTCTCACCACCAGCATCCCACCGACACCGTTCCCAGACCTGCCCGTGGCTTCCCTCCCTACCACCACCCACCTTCACCGGCCCCCCGTATCCCTCTCTTGTAGCTTACCGTATCTTCTCCCTGGCAGTGCTGTTGCAACGGGTATACAAGCAGCAGCAGAGGCAGCAGGTGCTGAGTGGAGGGTGCACAGCAGTACACACAACCAGCAGCAGAGCTATCCCTGGTCCAGGCCTGGCTATATCACCCCTGCTAGGCATCATCTTGTGCTCTGCCTGCAAATAAGTGCACCTGCCAATTGCTGCCCCTGTGTGCTGCTGCGCTAGTGTTATATTCTGTGTTCCACTGGACATTTACTACAATTTACTTCAATCTCTTTGTTCAGAATGTGGGTGTCAGTCTGTAGCATGCCAAAAGTGCAAAGAAGGTAAGGTGACCCTCCCTTCCCAGCACGGATTACAATACCGAATTTGCAGATAGTGCATTATGCTATAATATAAACGATTTCAGAGCAGCAAACTGGAAACAGTACAATCGACCTGCACCCTACCCACAGGCCTCTGGTTAACAGGGTGATTCACCCTTATGACCCTTACTATAAGGCTGGGTTTGACGATGCACCCTTTTTTATCAGAGTGGTCAACATTTTAACCCTTACAAGAAAAAGTGTTTGGTTATACCACACTGATATTTCAGAGTTATGTGGTGTAGTAACACCGATGATATTGAGTTAGATCTAACTGAGTATGGTAAGATTACTCGCGGAAAATGCTACCTCGTTCAGATTTGCCTACTTCAAGTATCGAACTTGATTTGAGTCATACGCGTAAATTCCTCTACGCAACTCACTACAACACCAACAACTTGTAGAAAAACCATATTATGTTTGCACCCTTACTAGAAAGAGTAGTTTTTGTGAGCACCCTTTCAGAAAAAGTGCAAGCAGGGTGTTGGCCTTACGTGAAAGAGTAGCTCAAAACCTAACCAGAGGCCTGCCTACCCACCATCTACACGAACAACCGACTAAAATTTGGCAATATTGCAAATGCTATTTGCAAGCACAGCATCAGCATGCCAAGAGCCTCCATCTTGCTGGTCAATTGGATATGTTTGTTGCTTGAGTCCGTTTGTTCAGGAAACGTCTCCCTTGTCCAAGAAGATGTTATGAAGCATAACCAATATTGTGTACACTCCTCTAGAAACAGTATATGAGATTCAAGTATTCATGCAGCCAATTCATTCCAGCTCGCAGCCAACGGACAGAATATGTAGGGGCGAAATCTGACGAGGGTGTGCTTTTCATATTGTAGAGTCGGTCAAAGGCAGGTTTGTGGAAGTGAGCTCTTAACGTCACTGGCTTGTTTACCGTTGAAACAAGATTTATGATTGGCCATTACCACTAAAGCGTCACATAATTACGTGATGTCTCTCTGAAAACTGAAACCCCAACTCAGGTGCTACTCACTGAAAACTCAGTTGCCTCTGAAAACGATCGGAAGTGTATTGTTTCAGGCACACCAGGATGGGCACCTCAGGATTCACACAACCTCGAAATTGCTTTGCCATACGATTTTCGAGGGGCTTTCAGTTGGCAAAGCACGGTTTTTGAGACTGTAAGCCAATTGCGCAGTTTCATCGCTTCTGGGGCAGGGTTACTGTCCAGTTTTCGATTACAGCACAGAGTTAGTGCGATTTCTACGCAGCTCGACGCTCATTGGTGTAAATCTCTGAAAACGACAAGCCTACTGTGTAAGAGAAAATAGTTTAACTCAGCCAGGTGTTTAACTTTTTTCAAGCCCATATAGAGAGAGCATCAATCCTAAACACCCATTCGCATAGTGTTTCGGGTTGATGCCTCCCTCGATGGCAGCCATAAAAAGAAATATTTTAAACCCGTCGGAAAGGGCAGTAACCCGAAACACTTTCGCCCAATGTTTAGGGTTGATGCTCCCTAAACAATTCCGCCCAGTGTTTAGGGTTGATGCTCCCTAAACAGCATGCCATCTGAGAGGGTAGTATATTTGTCTGCCCAAAATTCATTGCAAACGGTTCGATAGCCGTCAATCCAAGCGGAGTTGTCGGTCCGTTGATATTTTGACCAATAAAAACTTTACTGCGTAGAAATCTCACTAACTCTGTGCTGTGATCGAAAACTGGGCAGTAACTGTGCGCCAGAAGCGACAGTGCTGCGCTTTTGGCGTATAGTTCCAGTAACAATGCGGGTTCAACTAAAAACCCATTTTCGAGGATTTTCGCGGGAGAACGGAAAGTGGCCCTGGGAATGGTGTTTCAGGTTGACGCAACAACGGTTTTGTCAGGTGCTTTACGGTGTTAGTTGTACGCTCAAGATACCGCTTCTTACCCCGTAAACACTTACTGAACCGTACTGACAGTGTTGGCGGAGATTTGCGGGGAACGACCCCCAAAATGTGAGATGGTCTTCTCAGCGCACTACAAACCCGCTGGAATTGTCCGAACCGTATTCAACCAGATTTGACCCTCCGTCACACATCCGACATACCTGCGTTTTCCCTTTCCACACCCCACCAGATCTACACAAACCCAGGCTGACGAAGCGTTTCGCCAAACTACGCTAAACAGTTCGCGAACCACTTTACCAGGCATCTCGACAACCTGATAATCACCCAACCCAATCACAACACGAGTGAAACCCATCTCACCAGAGAATTTACCTGTGAGCCCTCCAGTTCGCGAGAACATGTCTTCCCCTTTAGCCGGGAGATGATTTTACAACTCCTCCGTTCCCTCTCTCACGCTGCCGCTTCTGTCAGACGACCCTAGACAAATCTTCGTTTCCCTCCCAACTCTGTTGCCTCCAGCCGCTTTCTACGCATTAGAGCAGCTCTTGGGAGCACGCTTCGGGAAACGATCGGCGTCGGTTGGATTAGCGACTGGCCACGTCACTAGATTTTTGGAGTCGCGTGTTTCCTCCCGTACTTCGTTTTTGGCCGTTCAAACAGCCTACGTGTATCAAACTAGAGACACGTAATCTTGTTCTGGTCCCGGATTATAGCTTCCACATTAGGCGGTCCAATCAAAAGCTGGAGTTTGTCTTGTTGTCGATGCTGTTCTGATCCTCCATATTCCAGGGTGGCATACTTGGGACAATCACTGAAGCCAGCAACGCAGGATCCCAACGGTAGCCTGTTTTCATCACATAACGAAGCCCAACAGTCAGCAATCAGGCAATCCACACGGTCATCAGGCTCATCCTAATTCCAGGCTTTTCATCTCGGAATTTTAGTTCGTCTTCGTAGCATCCTTGCCATTTTCGCCAGACGAGCTTGGCTCTACCACTTCCGAAGCATCACTGCCTTCTCACGTGTTCACTGGTCAACCTGACCTCGACGGGAGTTTCTGCCACGTTACCGAGTCAGCTTCGCCTGCAGATCTTCGTTTACGATGTCAGGTGCAACAATAATCCCTATTTCGTTTTCGTGTCAGGTCCGCGACTACCGCTTCAGTTTCTTTCGACCCCGATCCTGACTATGACGTTCGCTGTGCTGTTATTTGCAGGACATCATGGTAACCATGGAATCGCCGTGGATCAAGATTGCGTCCTCTTCCTCGTCGCGACGCCAGCTACGACGTGGTTGAAATGTCATGGATCGACCAGAGGAGCAGCTCCACGAGTCGTTATGGTGAAGGTCAAACGTATCACCCTCCACCACCACTCACCACAGAGCCTCCCCCCCGGTTAAGGTTTGGTAAAGGTTCGGTACAGGTGTGGTAAAGGTGCTTAGGTTTTTTGTTCGGTACAGGTTGGTATTGGCTCTGTGGTGGGTCAGCACTTGTTTCTTCACTTCGCAATGTCGTTATTTTCGTTGCATGCTTTCTTCACTTCCGTATACTAACTACATGATTTTTCTACACTCGCAGGTTCTAATGGAGATTGCGAGGCGTATTTTCGAAGATCAAAGAGGAGCAACGTACTTTGGCGTCATTCCTTGCTTATGGCGGACAACGGAGGAGAAGCTCCACGGCTGGTGAAGGTGAAGGTTGAAAGTATCCGTTTCACCCTTCACACTCCAGAGCCACCCCCCTGGTTGAGGTTAGGTACAGGTTGAGGTCTGGTAAAGCTCCCCCTAAAGGTTTTTTGGTTGGTATTTGGCTCGTTTCTTTCACGCTTCTTTTCGTTTTGCATTCTTTTCTTCCCGACCTTTACTGATTCCTGTTTATTTCTTTAATTGCAGGTTTTCTCTGAGAATCTACTGCGTTTTACAGAGGAGCAACATCTTGTGGCGTCCTGCCATGCTTCGTGGCGGACAACAGAGGAGCATCTCCACAACTGTTGAAGGTTGAACGTATCAACCACACCTTCTTCACGCCACAGAGCCACCCCCCTTGGTTCAGGTTCAGGTTTGGTTCAGGTTCAGGTTTGGTAAAGGTGAAGGTGGTAAAGGTGAAGGTTGTTAAAGGTCCCCTTGAGGTTTTTTGGTTGGTATTGATAGGCTCTGTGGCACTTGCACCATTGCAGCACTGTCCGTTTCTGCTTGCTTTGTTCAATGCAGTTTACTAACCTAGTTCCCTTGATCTCCTTGCAGGTTCTATTCAAGGCCCTTGAACCACGCTCCATATGTGCTCATAGGAGCACCGCACTTTCTGTTAAGAACTAAGGCAAGAGTGAGGGTGGATTAGGTGGAGATTAGGGTACAAGACTAGAGTGTCGAGGTTGTTTTTTTGTACCCTCTAAGGCTAACCCCACTACAGCCTACCCAATTATAATCATACAAGTATGTTTGTGTTGAGAACCATAGTAGTTAGGAAACTTAGGAGATTAGGAACTAGGGTTTTGGAGAGGTTCAACAAGGAGAACCATGGAGAGGGAAGTTGGCCAAAAGAGTGGTTTCACTATGGAATGAATACAAGATATAGGAATGGGCAAAAAGGAGGGCACACCACCAGCAATTGATGCTAATACCTAAACTAGTACACTAGCTAGCTGTAGGCAGTTATAAGATATGCAATATAATTCAACACACCCCCGTAACTGCCTACGGCTATAGCTAGTGGTGCCTGGCACCAGGTCGCCTGGAGAGCGGTTGCTGTAGCTGGGATAGGCACAGAAACAGTGGTGGCTGACCGGCAGCACCTGTGAACGCCAGGACGGAGGAGGGCGCGGAGAGCGCGGAGGAGGGCTGGGATAGCCGGAGGGCGAAGGATGATGGTCGCTCGCCATCTACGAGCAAACACAACTGTTGGTGAGGAGGAGGAAGCTGCTGGTGGTGCACAGGAGGAGAGCAAAGGAGAGGCGGCTGGAGGAGAGGAGATAGGAGGAGGAGATGCGGCTGGAGGAGAAGAGAGG